GTGTGTGTGTCCAACATTTGACTGGAGCGTGTGTGTGTCCAACATTTGACTGGAGCGTGTGTGTGTCCAACATTTGACTGGAGCGTGTGTGTGTCCAACATTTGACTGGAGCGTGTGTGTGTCCAACATTTGACTGGAGCGTGTGTGTGTCCAACATTTGACTGGAGCGTGTGTGTGTCCAACATTTGACTGGAGCGTGTGTGTGTCCAACATTTGACTGGAGCGTGTGTGTGTCCAACATTTGACTGGAGCGTGTGTGTGTCCAACATTTGACTGGAGCGTGTGTGTGTCCAACATTTGACTGGAGCGTGTGTGTGTCCAACATTTGACTGGAGCGTGTGTGTGTCAACATTTGACTGGAGCGTGTGTGTGTCCAACATTTGACTGGAGCGTGTGTGTGTCCAACATTTGACTGGAGCGTGTGTGTGTCCAACATTTGACTGGAGCGTGTGTGTGTCCAACATTTGACTGGAGCGTGTGTGTGTCCAACATTTGACTGAGCGTGTGTGTGTCCAATTTGACTGGAGCGTGTGTGTGTCCAACATTTGACTGGAGCGTGTGTGTGTCCAACATTTGACTGAGCGTGTGTGTGTCCAACATTTGACTGGAGCGTGTGTGTGTCCAACATTTGACTGGAGCGTGTGTGTGTCCAACATTTGACTGGAGCGTGTGTGTGTCCAACATTTGACTGGAGCGTGTGTGTGTCCAACATTTGACTGGAGCGTGTGTGTGTCCAACATTTGACTGGAGCGTGTGTGTGTCCAACATTTGACTGGAGCGTGTGTGTGTCCAACATTTGACTGGAGCGTGTGTGTGTCCAACATTTGACTGGAGCGTGTGTGTGTCCAACATTTGACTGGAGCGTGTGTGTGTCCAACATTTGACTGGAGCGTGTGTGTGTCCAACATTTGACTGGAGCGTGTGTGTGTCCAACATTTGACTGAAGCGTGTGTGTGTCCAACATTTGACTGGAGCGTGTGTGTGTCCAACATTTGACTGGAGCGTGTGTGTGTCCAACATTTGACTGGAGCGTGTGTGTGTCCAACATTTGACTGAGCGTGTGTGTGTCCAACATTTGACTGGAGCGTGTGTGTGTCCAACATTTGACTGAAGCGTGTGTGTGTCCAACATTTGACTGGAGCGTGTGTGTGTCAGACATTTGACTGGAGCGTGTGTGTGTCCAACATTTGACTGGAGCGTGTGTGTGTCCAACATTTGACTGGAGCGTGTGTGTGTCCAACATTTGACTGGAGCGTGTGTGTGTCCAACATTTGACTGGAGCGTGTGTGTGTCCAACATTTGACTGGAGCGTGTGTGTGTCCAACATTTGACTGGAGCGTGTGTGTGTCCAACATTTGACTGAGCGTGTGTGTGTCCAACATTTGACTGGAGCGTGTGTGTGTCCAACATTTGACTGGAGCGTGTGTGTGTCCAACATTTGACTGGAGCGTGTGTGTGTCCAACATTTGACTGGAGCGTGTGTGTGTCCAACATTTGACTGGAGCGTGTGTGTGTCCAACATTTGACTGGAGCGTGTGTGTGTCCAACATTTGACTGGAGCGTGTGTGTGTCCAACATTTGACTGGAGCGTGTGTGTGTCCAACATTTGACTGGAGCGTGTGTGTGTCCAACATTTGACTGGAGCGTGTGTGTGTCCAACATTTGACTGGAGCGTGTGTGTGTCCAACATTTGACTGGAGCGTGTGTGTGTCCAACATTTGACTGGAGCGTGTGTGTGTCCAACATTTGACTGGAGCGTGTGTGTGTCCAACATTTGACTGGAGCGTGTGTGTGTCCAACATTTGACTGGAGCGTGTGTGTGTCCAACATTTGACTGGAGCGTGTGTGTGTCCAACATTTGACTGGAGCGTGTGTGTGTCCAACATTTGACTGGAGCGTGTGTGTGTGTCCAACATTTGACTGGAGCGTGTGTGTGTCCAACATTTGACTGGAGCGTGTGTGTGTCCAACATTTGACTGGAGCGTGTGTGTGTCCAACATTTGACTGGAGCGTGTGTGTGTCCAACATTTGACTGGAGCGTGTGTGTGTCAGACATTTGACTGGAGCGTGTGTGTGTCCAACATTTGACTGGAGCGTGTGTGTGTCCAACATTTGACTGGAGCGTGTGTGTGTCCAACATTTGACTGGAGCGTGTGTGTGTCCAACATTTGACTGGAGCGTGTGTGTGTCCAACATTTGACTGGAGCGTGTGTGTGTCCAACATTTGACTGGAGCGTGTGTGTGTCCAACATTTGACTGGAGCGTGTGTGTGTCCAACATTTGACTGGAGCGTGTGTGTGTCCAACATTTGACTGGAGCGTGTGTGTGTCCAACATTTGACTGGAGCGTGTGTGTGTCCAGACATTTGACTGGAGCGTGTGTGTGTCCAACATTTGACTGGAGCGTGTGTGTGTCCAACATTTGACTGGAGCGTGTGTGTGTCCAACATTTGACTGGAGCGTGTGTGTGTCCAACATTTGACTGGAGCGTGTGTGTGTCCAACATTTGACTGGAGCGTGTGTGTGTCCAACATTTGACTGGAGCGTGTGTGTGTCCAACATTTGACTGGAGCGTGTGTGTGTCCAACATTTGACTGGAGCGTGTGTGTGTCCAACATTTGACTGGAGCGTGTGTGTGTCCAACATTTGACTGGAGCGTGTGTGTGTCCAACATTTGACTGGAGCGTGTGTGTGTCCAACATTTGACTGGAGCGTGTGTGTGTCCAACATTTGACTGGAGCGTGTGTGTGTCCAACATTTGACTGGAGCGTGTGTGTGTCCAACATTTGACTGGAGCGTGTGTGTGTCCAACATTTGACTGGAGCGTGTGTGTGTCCAACATTTGACTGGAGCGTGTGTGTGTCCAACATTTGACTGGAGCGTGTGTGTGTCCAACATTTGACTGGAGCGTGTGTGTGTCAACATTTGACTGGAGCGTGTGTGTGTCCAACATTTGACTGGAGCGTGTGTGTGTCCAGACATTTGACTGGAGCGTGTGTGTGTCCAACATTTGACTGGAGCGTGTGTGTGTCCAACATTTGACTGGAGCGTGTGTGTGTCCAACATTTGACTGGAGCGTGTGTGTGTCCAACATTTGACTGGAGCGTGTGTGTGTCCAACATTTGACTGGAGCGTGTGTGTGTCCAACATTTGACTGGAGCGTGTGTGTGTCCAACATTTGACTGGAGCGTGTGTGTGTCCAACATTTGACTGGAGCGTGTGTGTGTCCAACATTTGACTGGAGCGTGTGTGTGTCCAGACATTTGACTGGAGCGTGTGTGTGTCCAACATTTGACTGGAGCGTGTGTGTGTCCAACATTTGACTGGAGCGTGTGTGTGTCCAACATTTGACTGGAGCGTGTGTGTGTCCAACATTTGACTGGAGCGTGTGTGTGTCCAACATTTGACTGGAGCGTGTGTGTGTCCAACATTTGACTGGAGCGTGTGTGTGTCCAACATTTGACTGGAGCGTGTGTGTGTCCAACATTTGACTGAGCGTGTGTGTGTCCAACATTTGACTGGAGCGTGTGTGTGTCCAACATTTGACTGGAGCGTGTGTGTGTCCAACATTTGACTGGAGCGTGTGTGTGTCCAACATTTGACTGGAGCGTGTGTGTGTCCAACATTTGACTGGAGCGTGTGTGTGTCCAACATTTGACTGGACATATTTGATCATGATTGATTATAGCTTGTCATGTCAAAATCAATTAAATAAATCCAATAGGACAAAAGACATGTTGAAAGTGTAAGTGCTCATCTCATGTATGTACAGTACAGACCAGAAGTTTGGACTTTTTATTTTTATTCATGACTATGAACCTTGTAGATTCACACTGAAGGCATCAAAACTGAATTATGTATGAAAAAGTATGAACCAACTGAAAAGATGTGTTCTATTCTCAGTTCAAATATATATATATATACATACTAGGGCTGTCAAACGATTAATTTTTTTAGTTGATTAATCGCATAGTAATGGTGAGTTAACTCACGATTAATCGCATGTTTAACATTCTATTTCAAATCCACTCCAATTGAAGTTAAATGAGATTATCAAATATAATTACCAGTGTTGGGTAAGTTACTTTGAAAAAGTAATTAGTTATAGTTACTAGTTACTTCTTCCAAAAAGTAATTGACTTACTAACTGAGTTACTCCACTATAAAAGTAACTAGTTAGCAGTAAAAGTAACTATTGCGTTACTTTTTCGTATGTCGTGGTACCGAGCTTTAGCTGGCTGTAATTTAGGATAACTTCTAAGTAGATTAATTGTTGCAACAACCCCACCCTATTTTAGTATGATATGTTAGTTTAGGGAACTGTCCTGCAGGCAAACAGGTATAAGACAGGCCAAGGTGCCATTTAATTAAATTGCATTTATTTTTATCCATTGATCAAACAAACAGATTACAAAACTTGCAATTGAAAGAGACTATTTTAAAATAATTAGTTCCCAAAGACACACACGAGCAACACCCGCGCCTGACAGTCAAGAACCAGGGAGAATACATTGCGCAGAGCGCGCCTGACAGACAAGAACCAGGGAAAATACAGTGCGCAGAGCGGTGAGTATGTGAACGGAGCAATCGCTTGGCTGCTGCTGTTATTATAATAGCTAGATCCATGCTTGCAGCCCGTGCAAAGCTTGCACTCACTCACAGCCGCTAACAACAACCAGAGCGGCCACGGAGGAGGCCATCTCACACGCAGCATTCTGAGTGATATTCTTATGGATAAATGGGCGGGTAATTCGGACATGCGTTAAAAAAAAAATAACGCGTTAATAAAAAATGTAATTAACGTGAGTCAAAACGATAATTTTGGCAGCCCTAATATATACACAAACGGTTGTTGGTGTTATCATCACTCTCTTTACACAAACAAAACTTGGGGACTTCACAAACTGAATGCGCATTTCGCGCATGCGCAAAACGCAACAAAATACTTTGCCTGAAGTCGACGGTGCGGTCTCGTGGAACGTGAAGAGAGGACTCTTCTGAATGTACGGTAAGTGTTAAGACACGTTGTTCATTGTTATAAAGGTATAAAGCTAAAGAAGTGTGTTAAGAACGAGTACACATTCGACTATATTATCTTATAAAACTCGTGTGTTCGACCAGCTCAGCGGTGAATGCAGTGACTGTGGCCGTGTTCAGAGCCGCTCTCCCGGAGGCCTGAGAGAGCTCTGTCCGGCCTCCGGGAGTTTACTGAGGACAGTGGTGAATGTAGCTGTTAGTAGCTAACTGTAGCCGTGTTCAGAGCCATATTCCCGGCCCTAACTACGCGGGCCGCCGCCGCAAGGAGGCTCCGCTGTGATTGCTCCGTGTGTGATAACTTTCTGTAAAGCATGGAGCTGCAGGAGCATGGACGAGGCGCTCAGAGCAGACTGCTTCGAAAGAACCGAAGGAAAAGCAGTTTGGGCTCATGGCAGAGCCTGATATACGCGGAGACTGTGGACTAGAGTTCTGTGGAATATCTAACATATATCATTTGTTTTGCACTGTTCCTGTCTTTGTTTGAGCACTAAGACTTTCACTTTTATTATTGTACTTTTTCATCTCATTTGTCACTTTTGTCTTTCTGTTCATTTTTTTTTGTTTTGTTTATTAAGTCCATTGCTTAATAATGTTATTGAGTGAATCTAGACCTCCTTTAAACACATTTGAGCAAAAATCATGTGATATTGTTTTATATATATTGATTATTCTTTTTTTTGCTTACAGTTGCAGTCCGACAACAAGAAATAGTCAATTCTGCCCCACCTGTGGAAAATGTCAAAGCGCGCTGGCCAGCACTTTATACAGAGAGACAGGTGTGTACACAATTTTTACATCTATGCATTTAAACTTGAAGTGTTTTATGGTTTTTTTCGCAGGTCCTGGCAGAATTTAACCAGATCACCAGCTCCAAACTGGGCAATGATTTTGTTGAAGCATTGGATGGCCTAACGACACAGTTCATCAAGCTCTTTAAGGCCAAAAGGGGGACTGCTGGCGCTAAGCTTTCCAAGATTGTCCGGCACCTTGATTCCTGTGTAAGTTCATAAAGCAATAACAAAAAGAAATGACATATGATTGTGTTTGGTATTGTAATGCACATATGTACAGCAGAGGAGATGGGGAAAAGGAGAAGGGTAAGTACATCCCCCTCCATTTGTCTCGTCTGTCAGTACAGTGTTTTACTCCTATGTACAATTATGAAAAAGACACAACAAGCAGTGACACTTGTAGGTGATAACTTACTCAGTACTGCTTTAACAACCTTAACCTCCACCTGAAAAAGACATTCAAATAATACAGGAAAACGGTACAAGAAAGAGACAAAAATGAAACTAAAACTTGAAGCTGTTATATCTGCTGTAACCTTTTGGCTAAAGCTAAACTGGGGAAATACACTTCATTAAGGCGGGTTTATTCTGTCCAGTGTAAATGACACGTAATATATTAAAGGGCCGTGACGTCGCCCGGTCACAACACACTTGAAGGTAACTCTACATTTCTCAATATAATGAGTTAACTAGGATTTGGGAATAAAGAAATTTTACTTTTGTGCACAAATAACATTAAATAACATGCATTGTTAATGCATGGAGGAAAAATGTGGGTATCCGAGCTTTAAATTCAGGAGTTTTGCTTCAGGAGGAGACACAGGAGACTCACATTTATTTCACATTCAAAATCATGAAATGACAAAGTATTATAAGTAATGCATCATATTTAGATGTTTTATTTTTTTAACAGATCTTTCTCAAATGGAAATGGACACCATCACTTTCAATTGACCTCAACCCATAGTCTCCTCCTAAAGGAGAGTCCTCTGTGGCAGTTACAACGAGATCCAGAGAAGGACACAGCTAAACAGGTACTGCTGCATTTTGTATCCTAAGATTGTACAATTACAATTGTAGATTGTCATTTTACATTTTTCACATGTTTGTAGATGGTGGAACTGCAGGAAAACCCTGGTGAGTGAGAGATCCTTAAAGATTATAATTCTGTGAGATCACTAAGTCACCGCTCTCGAAGACAACTTGTCGACCTTCTCGTCAGTGACATGAGTGAAACACATGGGTATGTTGTATCCCTCAGTTAATACTCAAACGTTCCTTCTTACAAGTGGAAGGATATTTACTCAAAATAAAATGAAAATCACTTGAAAGACCTTTCACAATAATCACATAACAATTCAGTTTCTCTCAGCACTGTTATTGATTCCCCATTGTAAGATAAATAGTACTTATCTCTTTTATAAATGACCTAGGTAGATGTTCTGTAGATTATCTCTTGGTTAGGTCCCCGTGAAAATATGTACTTGTAGAAACTATTAATTTAGCCTTTTTATTTAACCATGAAGTCCCTTGACCATGAGTGTTTTTCTCTCCTTAGACAAATGCCTTCCCGAAAACAAAAAGAAAGCTATGCTCTTAGAATTATCACACTTTCTTCATTGAAGGATCAATTTTCTCAAAAAGGTTATGTAAGTATTGTTAATGTATCCATGGTAATTTAATTTGGTTTATCTACACATGTTTTGTGTCGGTAATGGATATGTATAGATACCAATCATAACTGTACACTTTGTTTTCAGACTAATCTAGCCTCGTAATGAGACGGTGACCTCCTATTTGCTTAACACAATATCTGCAAGTCCACGATGTTGATAAAGACGACATTGTGTGTAAGTGTTTTACTGTTTCTCCTTCCTTGTTTGACGTTACTGTGACTTGCGTTTGATTTTTATTCATATCACTCTTTTGATTGTTTTCTAGCGGCCTGTAATACTTATTATGAGACGGTTCGCAGGAGCCATCAATATGCCAAGCCAGAAAACTCATTGCGGGCGGATGTGGCGAAGAGTTCAGCTCGGAGTCAAGTGAGAAGAAAGAGGGTAAGACTAAACTGCATCACACAGTAAGGCAAGGGAGGTTTATTTGTGTAGCACAATTCATACACAAGGAAACTCAAAGTGCTGAACAAAATAAAGCATTCATATAAATAATCACAGTACATCAACAAAGTTAAATATAAAATCCCTCAGTTGTAGCACAGCTAAAGTGACAGCTCCTCTTTGACAATGTTTAAAACCAGGTTAAAAACAGTTACGCTGTGCTACAACTGTGCTACAACTGAGGTATTTTATATTTATCTTTGTTGATGTACTGTGATTATTTATTTTAATGCTTTCTTATTTTGCTCAGCACTTCGAGTTGCCTTGTGTATGAATTGTGCTAGACAAATAAACTTGCCTTACCATCGTACTTCCTGGTTCTGGTCAGGACTTGAGCTGCTGCATTTTGAATGTATTGCAGCTGTTGTTGCAGTAGTCTAACCTACTGGAGACAAATGCATGGATAAGAATCTCCAGGTCTGCTTTAGACACAATGTTTAGATGGGAAAAAGGATTTGATGTGGCTAATAATATTTACTGATTCTTTCAGCTGCTGGAATCGAGACTGAGTGTGCTAGAAAGTGACAAAGTGGAACTCTGGAAGTCCGCCACGGTAGACCTAATGTCCAATGAAGAAGAAAGCGTTGTGGACGGTGTCTCTGGATGGATTGTGCAGTCACCGTCTTTTCGAAAGCCGGAGTTTTCTGAACTCTGTCAAGCTGCAGTCCTGGTTAGAGGCGGCGCGGAAGTACAGAGCCATGCACATTAAGCGTCTATCTAGAACCCTGCCAAATTACAACCCCGAGGAGGCTATTGGACAGTTCAGAGTTGTAATTTTTTAATTACCTATGTGTGGGCATAAAGCTCTGTGTGTGTGTGTTTTAATAAAGCTTTCTTTGTATGAACATATTCCTGGAAAATTTTCATTTCTTCTATAAATAATACGAATATTTATATAAATATTATTACATTAATTATGAGGCAGGGTGACCAATAGTGACGGATCTGCCAGCCAATCACGAGAGATTATACTTATTTGAAAGTAGTGATTTCATCCAATGGGGAGTAAGCTACCAATGGGGAGTAATCCCACGTGGGCTGGCCACGTGTGATTTTTCAGCCAATCACGAGTTTGAAAGTAGTGGTATCCGCCAATGCTGAATAGCAGCCTGGCCAGCCGCTGCATTCATATGCTAATTAGGGCCATTAGCGCTCGGCCGGCCGCAGTGTTTCGCTGCATTCATATGCAAAGTACGGACATTAGCATGGTACGGATGCGGCAGTTTGGAGGACAGGGCACCCTAACTGCGGGTTTTGAAAACTGCCTGAGATACCCGAAAAAGAGCGTGATTTCCTGCCGTTTAGGGTGACGAAAATCTAACTTTTCATGCAGTGCAAGGAGCTAAGCCGCGTCGTGGTTGAGAGTGCCGTGTCTGGACAAAGGAGAGTTGTGTTGGTGGAACAGTTGATAAAAGACCTCGCAGCTCATTCACTCGAAGGGCATAAAACATTGGAGTTGAGATTGAATGACATCGTGTGTCAGGCTTGAACTCTCTGACCCGGCTTGGATTTGCCCCTGTGTACGGAGGTCTGAGGGCGCCGCAATTCGATTTAATTGGATTTAATAGAATATCTGCCTGCTTTTGACTGCTACATTGCATATAATATTGTCCCCCTGAGGCGATGTGTTTTTCTCCTGCTGTGTCTTCTCTCCACTCTTATCTCACATTCCTCTGCCAAGGCCATAATAACAAGGTCCCGATCTACAATAACTCACACTATTCAGTCTCCAGCACGGATCCCGCTCCCCCCGCCTCCCTCTACCTATCCATCTTGCTCCCTCCCTCCCCTCCACTCCTCATTGTGTTTCCGACTCACCCCCTCCCTGACCCTGCCCCCCTCTGACAGCCACATTGGGCCGGCAGTTGGAGGTGCTCATCCCGAGAAAAAAATCCGTAGTTTATACAAAGCACAATGTGTCTATCCAATTGTCTGTGAAACTGTGTGTTATTGCTCTCTGCTGTTTATTCTACTGTTTGTCGCATGGCGCCGTAAAGATGGCGCCGTGGCAAGAGCTCTGGTGTGTGTCGTCTGGTGCACACTGGGGTAGTCTTGCACAGTTTTTCCAATGTGGTTTTACTGCAAATGGCAAATAAATGAATCTGAATCTGAGTTGATTCATTTGCAGCCTGAAATGTGGCGAAATGTTGAAAGGTTCAAGGGGGCCGAATACTTTCGCAAGGCACTGTACGTCTATATACATTTACCGCCTGTGTCCCAGATTATACTGCAATATAAACGTCTACCGTCTGTGTCCCAGATTATACTGCAATATATACGTCTACCGTCTGTGTCCCAGATTATACCACAATATATACGTCTACCGTCTGTGTCCCAGATTCTACTGCAATATATACGTCTACCGTCTGTGTCCCAGATTATACCGCAATATATACGTCTACCGTCTGTGTCCCAGATTATACTGCAATATCTACGTCTACCGTCTGTGTCCCAGATTATACTGCAATATATACGTCTACCGTCTGTGTCCCAGATTATACCACAATATATACGTCTACCGTCTGTGTCCCAGATTATACCACAATATATACGTCTACCGTCTGTGTCCCAGATTATACCGCAATAAATACGTCTACCGTCTGTGTCCCAGATTATACCACAATATATACGTCTACCGTCTGTGTCCCAGATTATACCACAATATATACGTCTACCGTCTGTGTCCCAGATTATACCACAATATATACGTCTATTGTCTGTGTCCCAGATTATACCACAATATGTACGTCTACCGTCTGTGTCCCAGATTATACTGCAATATATACGTCTACCGTCTGTGTCCCAGATTATACCACAATATGTATGTCTACCGTCTGTGTCCCAGATTATACCACAATATGTACGTCTACCGTCTGTGTCCCAGATTATACCACAATATGTACGTCTACCGTCTGTGTCCCAGATTATACCACAATATGTACGTCTACCGTCTGTGTCCCAGATTATACCGCAGTATGA